CCCTGCAGGGACCTACCTGGCGGCCCAGCTGTTCTGTCCCAGGCTCGAGATTCAGCCGCTGTTGAAACTGATCAGTGGCTGATTCTAGGAAGCTGGGGGCAGAGCAACTCTGCCTCGGGCTTCCTGTAGTCAGCCCCTGGTCAGTTTCAGCAGCAGCGGCTGAATCTGGAGCCAGTTCCGAGTTACGTATAAATTCAACTTAAGAACAAACCTATAGTCCCTATCTTGTACGTAACCTGGGGACTGCCTGTATATAAGCCAAAGAATGAAGAACTGAACTCTAACAATACTAGAAACATTTAGAATCCTAGAATCGTAAAATCCTAGAACTGGAAGGGAGCTCGAGAGGTCATCGAGTCCAGTCCCCTGCACTCACAGCAGGACCAAGCATTGTCTAGATCGTCACTGATAGATGCCTATCCAACCTGCTCTTAAATACCTCCCAGTGTTGGGCTGTGTCCAGACTCAGGGGTTTTTTCGAAAAAAGTAGCCTTTTTTCGAAAAATCTTCCCCTGCATCCAGACTCAAGCCGCGTTCTTTCGAAATTAATTCGAAAGAACGCGGCTTTTCTTTCGATGGCGGTAAACCCCTTCTTTCGAAAGTTCCTCTTTCGAAAGAAGGCGTTCTTCAATGTAAATAGGGCTTCTTCAAAAGAGAGCGTCCAGACTCACTGGATGCTTTCTTTCGAAAAATCAAGCCGCTTTTTCGAAATTTCTCCGTGCAGTCTAGACGCTCTCTTTCGAAAGATGCTTTCGAAAGAGCCTCTTTCGAAAGAAGCCTGCAGTCTAGACATAGCCTTGGAGATTCCACAACCCCTCTAGGCAATTATTCCAGTGTTTAACCGCCCTAACAGTTAGGAAGTTTTTCCTAATGTCCAACCAAAATCTCCCGCGCTGCAGTTTAAGCCCATTGCTTCTTGTCCTATCATCAAAGGCCAAGGAGAACAATTTTTCTCCTTTTTCCTTGTGACACCCTTTTAGATAGTTGAAAACTGCTATCATGAGAATCATGCCCATAGATCAACAAGCCACACTGATATGGTGTTCATACTGAACCTTGTAGATATTAGAGGCATTATATTTTCTCGGCACCAATATTTTCTCCCTCAATGTTTTTGCCCTCAATCCAATTTGTAACACTTAAATTGTGAATCTTACAATATATTCTTGGTAGTTTTAAGGGCAGCGTCTCAGAAGATTTTATCTTTCTCCATTTGAAGCACATCCCTCTGCCTTATTCTCTCATTTCAATTGAATTGCTTAGTGCTCTAACCTTCTGTAATTGTAGAAGTGTTGGATTTATCTTTGTTATGGAAAGAATGTCTTTTGCAGTCATGTCTGAGAGTTGTTTCTTACTTTTTTCATTTATGTTGGCATAGAAAGCAGTCTCTTTCTTACGCATAAGAATTGACAGGACTTAAATCCCAATTAGGAAATACTTGAAGTTTGAAAAGAATTATAGACAAAACATAGACAAGAAAAACAGGAAACCAAGTTTATTGAACAACTTGGAAGCAAGAGTATTTATGGTTTCAGGATAATTTGATTAATGGGAGCTGGGATTCTCATGTAATTGTAATTTATCCTTTCACATAGTATAACTTTAGAGGGGTACCCTTAAACCTTCACAGGAAATCTTAAAAATGTATTCATCTATACATATATCTGACTTGTTCATATACAGAAATGATCTCAGCATATGTATTATAATTAATAGGTTCAGTATACTGCAGTCTCAATAAATAACACAGTGACTTTTTGAAGTGCTGTCCTAATGAAAAGTCACTTTGTCAAAACTGCACCCTTTCCTGTATAATTTATCAGCAATAATAAATGATATTACTTTTTGTTCCAGTTAATACTTCATCACTAATACAGCTGTAAGACTCACAGTTGGATTATTTTATTATATCACTTCACAAGCAAAATGCCAAGGGCCAAGATCTCCTTTTCTTTATATCTGTGCAACACTATTGTAAATAGTGGTGTTACACAGAGGTAACTGGGGCCAAAATATGAAGTCAGGGACAGGGCCAGCCCACAACATTTTGACACCTGACGCAGGGAACTCAAATGACACCCCCATACCTCCTCGCTTGGGCCAAAACTTTGAAAGGTCTCAATTCTGCCTTCTTCCTCTTCTGCTCTAGAGCAGAGAGAATACATATGCATCAGCAGCAGACACAACTATGCTCTGGGTCCTAGTGGTGCCCCCCCATAGTCTGGCACCTGAGACGGCCGCCTCAGTTTGCCCCATGGTAAGGCCAGCCCTGGTCAGGGAGCTTCTCCTCTCATTTATACTAGGGTAAGTCTGTTTACATCAGTGCCGTTATTCCTGATGTGCACAGGTGTGAGATGAAAGTAGAATCAGGCCCTGTGGGTTAGCATAAGACTAAATGGGGATAGAATTCAGAAAGGAATTCTCAGAATGGATCAGGACCCACACAACAGCACCAGATTTTCATAAGAACTCAGCTCCTAATTAGGCGCCTAATATGTGTTAGCATTGGTTCTGAGTACTAGTGGAAGAGCTGGCCATAAGTTATGTGACTTACTGGCAACTGAGCTCTTTTCATACCAGAAGGAACTCAACTTCACTTCCTATTTACAGCTTGAGTTTGCAGAACAGATAGTTAGACAAGAATAAAACACCTTGCAAAGTGAGTACATTTGATCAGGAAGTAAGTCACAGAGACAATGTAAAAATGGACGCATGCTGCCATGTTTAGTTACTTTTCAAAGTG